AACGTACGCGTCTAGAATTTAAGATGAGTTAGCCGCGGCCGCGCGTCCTACTTGTGGGCCTTCTTCTTCGGGCTGCCCGGCTGGCGCTTCTTCTTGGGGACGCTGCGCCGGTAGTAGAACTCGTGCATGACGACGCCGCCCGGCCGCTCGACCTCCGCGGTGCACTTGAGGTGCTTGCCGAGGATCTGCCAGGTGTGGACGACGGCGCTGCCCCGGGGCAGGCCGCTGGGCTTCTCGTTGCGCACGGTGACGCGGCCGTAGGCGTCGGATGAGCAGGAGAAGGGCGTCTTCGTGCCCGACATGTTCGAGAGCTCGCGCGTCTTCCCGTCGGCGCGGAAGGCCTGCTTGTGGCGGCCCGTGATCGTGTCCGAGATGAACACGAGCGAATCCTCCTCGTGGACGACGAGGAGGCCCTTGGCGCTGAAGAGCGTGCCCTTGAAGAGGCCGTGGAGCGACTTGGGCACGCCCACCGCCGAGAGGTAGCGGTCGAGGCCGCCCTTGGTTTCGGTGAGCTGCTCCTTGCCGTCCTTCGTCGCCACGAGCCAGACGCCGCTCAGGTTGTCGTCGTCGCCGCCCTTGCCCTCGCCGCCGTCGCCCGCGCCGCCGAGCCGCTGCGCGCGGCGGTGCCAGGAATCCTCCGCGGCCATGAGCCCCATCTGCTCGACGAAGAAGCGGTAGTCCGTGATGCTCAAAATCGACGGCAGGAACTCGTCGTCGAGCATGCCGCTCGCGCAGGCGCGCTGGACCATGGTGAAGACGCCCTCGGCCGCGAGCTGGTGCACGCCGCAGAACGTCTCGAGCATCTCCTCGATCTTCGCGACGTACTTCTCGAAGGTCGCCGTCCACTCGAGGCGCTGCTCGCTGTCCACGTCCGCGTCCTCGAAGTCGTCGCAGTAGAAGCTGAAGAACGTGTCCAGCTCCTTCCGGAACTTGGAGCTCACGACGTGGTGGCAGAAGGCCTTGACCACGGGGTTCAGCATGTCGTCCTCGTCGCCGGGCTCGCTCCCCTTGCCGCCGCCGCCGGACGACCGCGCGTTCGACACGTACGCCGACTTCTCGTCGTCGTCGTCGTCGTCGTGCTTGCCCATCGTTCGAAACACGTTGAGCGACGCCGGCAGCCCCACTATGTTGATCCTGAAGTTTGCAGTCGGGCCTTGCCCACCGAGGCGTACGATACACGGAGCACCCCGGTGACTGTCTAGGCGACGGCGAACGGACGAAGCCCACGGAGAGCACGCCACCACCGCAAGAGGCATTACGACAGCAGGGAGAAGTCGACGCCCGCGAGGAGGTCCCGGCCGGCGAAGATCGACGGGGTGCCGCCCGAGCGCAGGTCGCCGACGTCGAGCGTCGTCACGCTGCGCCCGTTGGGGCTGCCCGCGCGCGTCGAGAGGCTCCGCGCGTCCGAGTGGTGCGGTGCGCGCGCCTCCGGCGCGGCCGCCGCGGGCGCCTCGGCCGGCGACCCGGCCGCGCTCCCCAAGGAGGCGGCGCTCCCGCCGAAGGCGCTCCCCCCGCCGAAGGCGCCCCCGCCGCCGAAGGCGCCGAAGGCGCTGAGCACGCGCTGGCTCGCGGCGACGTCCGACACCGCTCCCTGGAACGCCGCGCGCGGGTCGTCCTGGACGCGGCGCGTGAGCGACGTCGTCGAGTTGCGCCGGTGCTTCGAGGGCTCCCTGCGGCCCGTGAAGTGGTTCATGTGGGCGTTGGGCGTCTGCCGCGCGTCGTCCATCATGTTGTAGAACTCGAGCGACTCCCAGCGCGCGCCGTTCGAGAAGGGGCCCCCGGGCGTCGTCTTGCGCCGCAGGGCCGGGTCCTCGCCGCCCTCGACGTCCAGGGGCGGCGGCGCCGGCTTCGCGCGGCGGTAGTCCGCCGCCGTCAGGGGTCGGCGGAACCCGCCGGGCGTGAACTGGCGCGGGGGCGCGCCCGTGAACCGGAGCCGGCGGCTCGCGCCAAAGTCCGAGCCGCCGCGGAGGCAGGCCGGGTCGTTCGACAGGCTGGCGAACTTGGCGTCGCGCACCTGGCGCGTCCGAGCGAGGGCCTTGCCCCGCGCCCGCGGGCCGTCCCGGGCACCGTCGTCCCGCGTCGTGCCCCGGATGAAGGGGCCGCTCTCGTAGCCCCAGCCGTCGAAGGGGATCGTGCCCAGGGCGTAGTTGCCCCGCGAGTCCGTGGAAGTCGACGGCCGGTGCGTCAACGACGCCTGGGGCAGGTACACGGGCAGCGGCGTCCACCTCGACATGCTCTCAGCGCCGACCGAAGATGTTGCCCCTAACATGCCACAGAGTAGATGTTGCCGCATGTTTGCATGCTCTCCGCGGCGAGCACTCGAGCACCACTCGAGCTGCCGCGAGAAGCGAACACGGCTGGCTGCGCTGCGACGCGTTGCTCCCGGTGCGCGCGTGCTCCTCGGTGTCTGCGCCGCCGTGGGCTTCGTGATCCCCCTCGCGCTCTCCTTCGCGCCGTCGCTGCGCCGCGACCCGTCGAGCTCGCTCGCGCTCTTCTCGCTCTGCGCATTCGCCGAGTCGGCGGTCGTCGGCGTCGCCGCGTCGGCCTACAAGCTCCAGTTGCTGCCGGTGCGCGCATGTCAGACACACCGAACAAGGAAAAACGCGCCCGGCGGGGCGGGTCCGGCAAGGGTCGGCGGGGGAAAGGCCAGAATCCGCCGCAGGAGGTGAACAACCGCTCCGTCAAGGACGGGGGTCCCCGCGTCCCCGCGCCGGCGCCGGCGCCGGCGCCGTCGCAGGGCGACGGCAAGGGCGGCGGGAAGCGCCGCGGCCACCGCGGCCGCCGCGCCATCGGCGACAAGGACGACGCCGCCGCGGACAGCGACGTGCTCGTCCGGTTCCGCGCTTTGGTCGTCGCCGGCGACCGCGACGCCGAGGCCGCGCACCGGCGCTTCGAGCAGCACGAGGACATGGCCGTCTTCGTCGCCGAGGCGCGCGCGCTCCTCGCGAAGCGCGCCGGCGGTGGCCCGCCGGGCCTCGCGGCGGCGAAGCCCGAGCCGCCCGCGTCGGCGTGGGGCCCGCCGCCGCCGCCGCCGCCGGAGCCCGCGTCGCCGCCGCGGTCGCCCGTCATCGCGCCGCCGTCGCGGACGCCGCCGCCGTCCGCGGGGCTCCCGCCGGGCCTGGGGTCCGGCGGCCTCGGCGCGTCGCCGCTCGGGGGGCTGCCGCCGGGCCTCGGGTCGTCGTCGCCGCTCGGCGGTTCGCCCGCGGCGCCGGGCCTCGGCCTCGGCCTGGGCCTCGGCGGCGGCGCGCCGCCCCTGCCGCCGCCCCTGGGCCTCGGCAGCGGCCTGCCGCCGGGGCTCGCGCGGCTCGCGGCCGAGGCCGAGGCCGCGCCGCCGCCGGCGCCGGAGCCCGCGGACGCGCGCGCGGAGGAGTCCGTCGAGGCGACGCTGCGGCGCCTCATGCTCGGCGGCCCCCTCAACGAGCCCGGCGACGACTTCGCGGCGTTGGCCGAGGACGTGGGCCTCGCGCCGAAGCCGCCGCCGCCGGAGCCCGAGCCCGAGCCCGAGGAGGCCAAGCCCGCGCCGCCGCCGAAGAAGAAGTGGGAGCCGCCGCGGGTCCACCAGCGGCGCAAGGGCCGCATCGCCTACCGCACGGGCGGCGGCCGCGGCGCCGCCTTACGGCCCCGGAGCCGGCTCACGGTGTCCTGGGAGCTCCTCGTCGGCGACGACGCCGGCGCGCGCTTCGGCGACCGCAAGGACGTCGCCGTCGGCCTCTTCCGCGTCGGCGCGTCGACGAACGACGCGGCCATCGTCGTCAAGCGCGCGTCGGGCAACTGCGAGCAGGCGCCGAACGGCCCCCTCGTCTACCGCGGCGCCATCGACTTCTTCGCGCCGCGCGCCGCGGGGTCCTTCGTGCTCCGCCTGTTGGACGCGCCGGACGACAACGCGGCCAACGGCAAGGCGTCGCCGAACGTCTACGCGACGTCGGACCAGCTCGACGTCGTCGTCCGGAGCCACGACGAGCTCCTCGACTCGCTCAAGGTCACGCTGACGCAGCTCGAGGAGAAGGGGCGGTCGAAGCTCGGCGCCGTCGCGCAGCTCGCCGTCGTCGCGGAGACCTTACCGGAGACGTTGGCGCCGCGCGGCGGCGGCCCCGCGGGCGCGGGCGACCGCAAGTGCCGCGAGAAGCTCCGGCTGTGCGTCGCGCGCGTGCTCGAGGAGCTCGACCGCCACGTGCCCGGGCCCTACGGCGTCGCCTGCCGCCGCAGGGCCGGCGAGCTCGAGGCGCCGGAGAGCGACGCGGCCGAGCTCGCGGCGTCGCGCGACCGCGCGGAGTCGACGCTCTCGGAAGCCGACTTCGCGGACTTCGACCAGGCCTTGAAGGACAAGGAGGTCAAGAAGGCCAAGGCCAAGGCCGCCGAGGAGCGGAAGGCGCGCGACGTCCACGGCGCGTGCCGCAAGCTCTTCGCGGCGCTCTCGCGGAACCGGAGCGCGTGGGCTCTGCTCGCGGCGTCCGCGCCGGACCTCGCCGAGGCCGTGCGGCGCAAGCTCGACGTCTGGGACGCCTTGGCGGAGGAGTTCTGGCCCGACGACGACGAGGGCGTGTCGGCGCTCGCGCGCGCCGTCGACCGCGGCGACGCGTTCTACCGGCCCGCGGCCCCGCAGCGCCGCGAGACGCACGCCGCGGCGTTCGCGGCGCTGGACCGCGCGTGCGCGCGCGTGCTGCCGACGCTCTTCCCCGGGGCGGGCTTCTTCGACGTCCGCGAGCGCGCGCGGCACCGCGTGGAGCGGGCGCTGAACGCCGCGGACGTGCTCGGCGGCGGGTTACGGTTGGAGCTCCGCGTCTTCGGGTCGTCGGCGAACCTCTTCGGCGCCGACGGCGCGGATTTGGACATGTGCGTCTGCCCGCTGGACCCGACGAACCCGAACCTGCGGAGCCCGGGCGACGTCATCCGCCGCGTCGGCGCCGTGCTGGAGGCCGCGGGCGCCGAGGACGTGAACGTCCGCGACACCGCGCGCGTCCCCATCGTCCTCTTCCGGGCAGGAAAAGAGAGCGAAATTCCCAACTTCAAAGGCTCCTATCTCGGTCGTTTTCCACTCGTTTCGGCTGATTTTTGGACGAGCGATCATCTCTCGGAAAGTTCTCGAAGCGTGGATGCTTTTTTCGGAACGCGCGCGCGCGGAACACTCACGTTGAAGCGACGTTGAATCACCCTTTTCCTGCCCAGGTCCTCTTCCGCGACCCCGTGTCCGGCCTGGACTGCGACGTGTCGACGCACAATCCCCTGGCGCTCCAGAACACGGCGCTGCTCCGCGCCTACGCCAAGGTCGACGGCCGCGTCCGGGGCCTGGCCTACGTCGTCAAGCGCTGGGCCAAAGCGCGCGCGATCAACTCGCCGAGCGACGGCACGCTCTCGTCCTACGGCTACGTGCTCTGCGTGCTCTACTACCTCCAGACCGTGCCCCAGCCGCCGCTGCTGCCGTCGCTCCAGCGCCTCGACCGGTGCTGGCCGCGGCCCCGGGACCCGGCCGCGGCGCCGCCGCCCGTCGTCGCGCACCCCTTCGACGCGTCCCGCGTCGTCCAGCTCGCGTTCCACGAGCCGAGCGACGCGTCGCTGCCCCAGCTCCGGGCCGTCGCCGCGCGGAACACGCAGTCCCTCGGCGAGCTCGCCGCGGGCTTCTTCCGCCACTTCGCGTGGGCCTTCGACTTCAAGCACAGCGTCGTGTCGCCGCGGACGGCGCTCCCGATGCCCAAGGCGAACAAGGCGGAGCTCGAGGTCTGGCCCATGCACTCGTGCCTCGCCATCGAGGACCCCTTCGAGACGTACTACGACGTCGCGCACGTGCTCAAGTACGCCAAGCACCAGACCGTGCACAAGGAGTTCATGCGCGCGTCGGGCCTCATCGACGCGGTGGCGGCCGGCGGCGACGCGGAGGCGCTCCTCGAGACCATCTGCGCGCCCAAGGAGGCCGAGGAGCCCGCCGCGGCCTAGGCGCGTCGAAAGGCCCCCGCGCGAATCGCCATGTCCAGGCGAATTATTTCGAGTTCGACGAGCCGTCGTCGTCGCGGCACTTGCCAAAGTCCGCGCCGCACGCGACCCACGTGATGATGAAGACGACGAAGCCCAAGAGCCCGATGGCGAGCATGTAGAGCTTGACCTTCTTCCAGAACATGGCCTCCTTGAGCTTGCGCGAGCTCTTCTCGAAGGTGAAGGCCGTCGTGTTGAGCCGGTCCGTCTTGTCCACGAGGAGCTCGAGCTTCTCGCCGCGCTCTAGAACCATCTCGATGTTCTGGACCATGACGTTCTTCACGTCGTCGAGCTTCTGGTGCACGGCGTTGAACTGCTGGCGGTCGCCCATGGGCCCGTTGAAGAGCTCCATCTGCTGCTGGAGCACGCGGCTGAACTCCAGATTCATCGCGAACGCGATCGCCGTCTGCGCGACGTCGCCGTAGGCGGCGAGGAAGCGCCGCTTCACGTCCTCGAGGAACGCGAAGGGCACGCGCCGCTTCTGCGAGTCCGGGTCGTCGCACATGCAGAGGTAGAGCAGGCCCTCCTCGCAGACGTAGTGGAAGACGTACTGGTCGTAGATGTAGGACATCTTCCCCGACCGCGCCATGTCGATGCGGCCCAGCAGCAGGCGCGTGATCGTCGGGAAGTTGCCGCTCGTGAACGTGAACTCGCTCAGCACCGTCTTCCCGCGGGCGACGAGCGCGTAGAGGATCGTCATCGGGTCGTCTTCGAACGGTGTGCTTCGGGGGCTTTGGGCGGCGTTTTTGTGCGCGCGCCGGGAGCTGTGGCGATGGAGCGCTGTGCGGACGCGCGCGGCGGCCGACCCGCGGCGGTCCCCGCGCCTTCTGCGCGCGTTGCGGGCGCGCGGCGAAGCCGAGATGCGCCGAGGTGGACAAAGCCGCTGATGCAGCTCTGGTGATGAGCATGGCGCCCGGGCTGCCCCGGCTGCTCGCGCTGCTCGCCGTCGCCGCGAGCTCGGCGTCGCGGCGGTCCCGCGCCGTGACGCACCTCGCGCGGCGCGACGATACGTCAACGGCGCAGCGCGGCGAGTGGCTGGCGGTGACGTGCACCGACGCGACGTACCTGCGCATCCTCGAGAACTGGCTCGTGGGCTACCGGCGCGCCGCGGGCCCGCGCTGGCGCCTCGCGGTCGTCGCCGACGACGCCGAGGCCTTCGCCGGCGCGACGCGGCTCGTCGCCGGCCGGGACCGCGAGGCCGTCGTCGCGGCGAACCGGTCGGCGGCGGTCGGCGGGAGCCACGCGTACGGGAGCCCGGCGTTCGCCGCGCTGATGCGGCGGCGGCCGCTGCAGATCTTGGACGCGCTGGCGACGAGCGGCGCGGGCGTCTTCTTCACGGACGCCGACGCCGTCTGGACCGGCGACCCGCTCGCGATCGTCGACAACTGTGTGGAAACCAACCACTGGGTTGGGTCCTGACCAACTTGAGAATTCTCTAGCTCGGTCAAATCGAAGTCGATTCGGCTGATTTTTGGACGGATCGATCGCTCTCGTCGAGTTCTCGAAGCCCAGCCGAAGAGCTCGTCTCAAAACATTCGAATACGCTCACATTGAAGTCGGGTTGAATATTTGGTTTCCACACAGGTCGACAAGCGCGGCTACGCGGGTTGCGACGTCGTCGTCACGGACCAGAACAACGGGTGCGCGGCGGTTTCGTCGCCACGCCTACGCATCGTATGTCCCGTAGGCCCGCGCGGCGCTACAACCCGGGCGTGCTCTTCGCGCGGAATTCCGACGGCTCCCGGAGGCTCCTCGACGCGTGGGCGGCGCGCTTCGACGGCGACAGCGTGAACCTCGTCAAGTTCAACCAGGCCGTCCAGAAGGAGCCGACCGTCAAGGTCTGCGGCCTGAGCGCGTCGTCGAGCGTCCTCGACGGCCGCGCGTTCAAGAAGGGCCGGGCGCCGTCGAGGTCGAGGCTCGACGCGGCGCTCGTCGTCCACGTGAACTGGACGCCCGAGGGCCTCGACCAGAAGGTCGCGACGCTCCGGCGCCTCGGCCTCTGGTGGCTCGATTCCGAACCGATCGAAGGGGGTTCTTAGTCGGGACACACACACACGCGCGCGCGCCGCGGCGCTCAGGTGTCCTCCCGGAGGCGCGCCTCGACGGAGCCGTAGACGGCGAAGACGACGGCCGCGCCGGGCACGCCGCGGACCAGGGCCGAGCCGTAGCCGACGTAGAGCGCCGGCAGGCCGCCCGCGCGGAGCGTGGCCGCGAGCGTCGCCCACGTCGACGTGCCCTGGCCGACCTGGAGCCGGCTCTTGACGCAGTCAAAGGGCAGCGCGACGGTCCAGAAGGCCGCGCCGCCCGCGGCGCCCGCCGCCGCGAGCTCCGGCAGGCTCAGCACGGCCCCCGGGCCGCGGCGCGCGACCGCCGCGCGCCGCGCGACCTCGAACGCCGCGTAGTACGCGCCGACGCCGGGCACGTCGCGGAGCAGCGTCGCGCCGACGCCCCGGTACGCGCCGCGGAGCCGCGAGCCGCCCGCGGCCTTCGCCGCGTCGGCCAGGGCCCCGGCGACCGTGAGCCCCGCGGACCGCGCGACCTGGAGCCGGTTCCGCACCTGGGCAGGAAAAGGGTGCGAAATTCCCAACTTCAAAGGCTCCTATCTCGGTCGTTTTCCACTCGTTTCGGCTGAGTTTTGGACGAGCGATCATCTCTCGGAACGGTCTCGAAGCATTGATGCTTTTTCCGGAACGCGCGCGCGCGGAACACTCATGTTGAAGCTACGTTGAATCACCCTTTTCCTGCCCCGTTCCGCACGAGCTCGACGGGCGTCAGCACGAGCGCGTTCGCGCCGCCGGCGACGGCGCCGCAGGCGAAGATCTCCGACGGTTTGAGCTCGCTCCGGCCCGTCGACTCCGTCACGCGCCGCCGGCACGCGCCGTAGACGCCGAACATGATGGCCTTGTACGCGCCCTGCGCGAGCAGCGGCACGAGCAGGCCCTTGTAGAGCGCGGCGACGCCCTCCGCGCGGACGGAAGCGACGGCGCAGTCCCAGGCGCCGGCGTACTCGCCGGGCGCCGCCGTCTGCAGCCGCGTGCGGATCGTGTCCAGCGGGTGGCAGACGAGGATCGATGCGCAGCCGCCGCAGGTGCCCGCGACGAGCGTGCGGGCCGCCTCGCTCTTCATCCTAAACGGACGCAACAACTTCGGCGTGTCCTGGCGCCCGAGCATGTCCATCGTTTGCGGGCATGTGTGTGGGTGCTCGAGACGGTGTGGATGTTGTTGATGGCGATCGCAGGAGCCTGCTTGTACAAGGCGACGCGAGTGGTGGCGCACACGATGACGATCGGAACCAAAAGGTCAACGTGAAATGCAATATTGACGTCAACAACACAATTCCTTCGGCGCGCAGACCTGAGAAAAGACCCGTTCCGCCTAGTAAACTCGAGTGCTGGCGCCTGCTTGACGCTCAAGGCGTCGGGGTTCGTGCGAATCGACATGGCCTGTAGGCCTCGCACGGAAGAAGTAATTCGCGTGATTGACTCGGAAAGTTACGAGGTTCTACCCCCCGCGCGCCCCCCTCCCCCGCCCCCGACGACGAGGTAGTCCGCGACGGGCAGCACGGCGGAGCCCGGCCGCGCCTGCGCCGCCGCCGCCGCGTCGGCGATGAGCTCGGGCCCCTTGCCGCGGTCGACCTCGTTGCCGACCCAGTCGTCGACGGCGGGCACGGGCGCGAAGCGGAGCTGGAGCGTGTACTCGGCGAAGTTGACGAGGCCGTCGCCGCCGCGC